TTTGTATAAAAAGAATATCTAGTCCATGAGTATCTTCGTCAATAAATCTGGTGGTTAGTTCCAAAACAAAGACGGTATGGAAAAGAACGAGCAAAAAATCCTAAGGCTCTTAAACCCCTTTAAAATCATGTTTTACTAGTGTTATTAAATCTACAAAGTCAGGGAATTGTGCTCTAATCTAAACCTCAAGGGTTTATATTAAGACATTAATCTAATAATATCATACTGAAATATTATTCAATTTGTTCCACGGATCTCATAAACTATTTATTTGGTGTTTCTATGAAATTGTTTTAAACTATTCTTTACAAAATCATTCAGCTACATATATTCCACATAAAGGTATTAATTTGCTTAAATTTCATAGTAGGCTCGTTGTATGTGAAAAATAAAAATTAAATTGATTAAAAATTAACACGTTGATGTAAAGCAATAATGTAGTGATATGTGAATATTCTGATTATTTAAGAGTTTTCATGACGAAGAATTTTGTTCTGTAAAGAGTTGCTAAATAGCTTATTTATTTATCGATGATTCAATTTATTGCATCTTGTATGCCAGTATCAAATTTGTGATAGTATTTTGATTAATTTTTTCACGAAACTGGGATGCTATTATTTTAATTACGGACTTGTTGAAAATGTAATGTGTTTCTACAAATATACAGGTTGACATTTTGAACAAGTGATACCTATATTGAAGGAGCTGATTTTGATGCTCAATTAAAACATTTTTTTCAGAAACAAATTTATTTCCCAAACAAATCGCAACGGCTGATTGATCAAATTGCATAGAAAAGTAAAATAGTTTTTCATATTTCCTCAAAATTTTTAGTTTTTTTTTGTCTTAGTGTTCACGGTATACTACTTACCAACTCACAAAATAAAGTTTAAAAAAGTTCTCATAATTTCCTCAAACATGGTAGTGACATTCGGGCAGACAGACAGACATAACGAATCCATAAGGTTTCCGCTTTCCATTTAGCTACAGAAACATAAGTGTGCCTTTTGAAATTATATAATTCACAATGCACTGTAAAAGGTGTACCTACAGATGTGTTGATACGCCATCGTTTCTTTTTACGTAATCCATTGTACGAATGGCGTTAAAAGAAGTTGCTCTGATTTGAGTGCTTTGAATTTCCTGATATTTATTTAATGTTAATCAATCAACTAAGTATATATGCATGTACTTATAAGGTATTTGTATACAAATACACGGCGCGACAAACGTTTATAAATTTGTACTTTTATCGGATTTGTCTCAAAAGGCCAGAAACGAACTTTTCCTCCAATGTTGCAAATGTCCATAGGCGGCGCAGATTGCCTGCCATCAGGCATGATTTGTCTGCTTGATTGCCCCGCCCCATGTAATAGTAGTAACACATTTTTCGATTCATGGGTATGTATGATTGGTCACCGTAGCCTTTTTTACCTCAAAGTGGAAATATTTATGGAGCTCCCACGCCTTTTTTGTCAGGGGAAAAACATCAAATGATTTCTCCCGCCCAGGGTAAGGCGAGAGAGATGGTCAGAGCTCCCACGCCTGTGATTATCTCAAATTAGTCAGTTCTGAGATGAAATCTTACTAGCATATTGGAACACCCTGATGTCTTGTCTCTCACGTAAGGTTACACCCTACTGGGTGCAGGCCACAGAGGTGCGCAGGGACACACTAGACTGAGTTCATAAACATGTGTGTAATTAAAAAAAATACTACCAAATATTTCATACTCCATACAAAAATAAACTAAAGAAATAAAATGGAAAAGATTTTCCCCATTTATTTTACTATGATAATGGGTTTGACAATCTTATGTTTTAAGGCAGTAAGTATTTGTCTGTTGCCATTCCGATTATAGAGCTCTATCCATTCCATGTCATGAAATTAAATTGTCTCGATTATAATCGATTAAATGTAACACGTATTTGCATAAGCATTTCAAGCGTATTTGTTGGTGTGGTTTATTACATTTGGTTACTATTTTTCGAGCTTTTCTTTTTGTCTTGCCTTGTTTATCACGGAAACCACCTCTCTCGTCAGAAAGGATAAGTTGACTCTATTTTCACACAATTTTCGTAAACAAAACGAATGAATTTAATAAAAATAAGAAGCATATAGGTAAGTGGTATATTCATAATTCCGTATTATAAAGCACCTGAGTATGTATTTATTAAAAAAAAATATGATTTAGATTTTGCAATTAAACTACTTCCAAAGAATTATTTTGCGACTGCACCGAATATTTGTTTTAGATGGTACTTGGGAGGTCGATGCAATTCTTTAAAGAAGTGTTGTGTAGTGAGCCACTTAATTAAATTGAAGATTTTTTGCGATAACACCCAGTTTTTTTTTAATAAATTTTCTACAGTTTCCAGCAAAAGCGCATTATATTATGATGATATTGTGATCAATCTTATCAAGTTAGTCGTTATTTTTGCATTTAGTAGATTTCATTTAAAGCAGTTTCAATTTGCCAAACTAGTTTTCATTCAGATATTCAAATAAAATAAAATAGTTAAGAGATCTTTGTATATGGCATTTCAATTCCCAAAACACTTTCTCTGATGAAAATACCAAGGAATTATTTACCCTTGGTTTTCTCTGGTCGTCTGTTCTCGTCTGTTCGAGTCTGGTCGATCTCTGTAGATATATGAACATCAGCTGATAGAAATTTTAGGAACTTTTCACTAGTTTTCGTTATATAATAAATGATGCACCTACAGCTGGAATATATTTCTCCTAGTTTGCATTTTGTAACAAATAGTTTAATAGGCACAATATCGAATGAACAATAAGTTGACAGTATTATGCAAAGAGAAAAGGTAGGTTCTTGTACATTTTAATTCGGCAACAACCGGACGCTTTAATGTATGGGATGTTATGATACCTGATATCGATTTCATCATTGCGAAATAAGTATTGAATTTCATTTTTCCAATCATGTGTTCTTTTTTTTTGTTCTTATTCCTTGATACATGTATATAATCAATTTTCGCTTTTAAACAAATTTTAATTCTTTATTATTTGATGTATATATAAATACACAAGCAGAGAGAGTGAGTTTGTTTTATAATATTTGTGCAAGAAGTTATAGTCACGAATATCGATCTGATGATGTTTAGCTATCTCTGAAATGATATGTCGCACTTGTGTAGCGTGTGTCTGATATACATTCTCATTATCGCCACCTAAATTCTTCCTTCTGAATGTAAACTGCTTTTTGCTGTTAGGGATGTATTATGATTTTATAGATGTTATATCTTAAGGTAATCTTCAAAAATAAGTAAAACGGCTGATATATGTTAAACGTAAGCAGTGATAAGCGGCGTGTTGATTATTATTGTGAACTGCATTTAGTAAATAAAAGTAGTCGTTGGGATTTTGAGAAAATGGAGTGTAATCACTTAACTATGAGTGACGAGAGTTTTAAAAGCATAAATCAATACGCGATGGAATAAAAAACGGGGACGATGAAATGAAACGTAAATAAGATTAAGAGAAAGTTCCAGGTCTCTCCATAGTGTAATATCTAGGCAGATACACCCATGCAGAAGGGTCCAGGTGTTGGATAGTTCTATCGATTCTTTTTACACCTTTGTATGCGAGATAAGTCTCTCATAACTCGTTGAACATTCAGAAGCCAGTTATTCAACGGCATGGGTAATTCGCACAGCTCCCCAACTAACGTTTCACAATTGTTATTTGTTATTAATTTCACGAACGATACGCCGGCTTTTAATGTTTTATAAATACGACGCATTGTTCTATAAGCGACACAATACCTTGCGGTGTTCGCGGCTCGGCTCGAATCCGATATGCAACTACATCGGCGTGCGGCGTCTGACGCATTCTTCTACACACGCAAACGTGGAAATATACCTTTTTTCGTTCCCTTATGAACATACCTTTGAGACAAACCGAAAATTTATGACGAAGTTTATAGGTATATGAAAAATGTCTAGGTTTATTGTACATACGTGTCAAACTTTAGGGTACCTGCATAAACTTACTTATTCTTCACCAATAAAAATAGATTATATTTACACATTTCTACTTAATCTAAAAATGTACTATGGAATAAGTAACTCAGTGTTACTATGGCCGTGGGTAGTAGGCACCTATAAAAGTATGTAGTGTGCATGTTTAGCTAACTACAACGTTAAGCGACGAATTCCAAGAAACCCGTATCGGGAGGCACGTACGCGTAAGATTGGCTAAATCTCAAGTGTTAAATGTTACAACATAATAACAATAATGTATACTGTATGTACTTTAAACAGAACTTTTGTTGCATTCTAGTACCTACTCCATTTGTAAGCAATTATAAAGTGAGCACAATAATGGTTGGTTTCCACAAGTGTTCCGGGTAAACAATATGACTAGTAGATCCTTGGTTTAAAATCTGTAATTAAAAATAATTTATGAATATCGTTCATGTTATATCTATAAATAAGAGAAGACGTAATATAATATAGAGTTCAACCTAAAGTTTGACGAACAATTACGACAGGACATTCATTTCGATCATTAATGCTAAGACAATAGTCCACGGTGGAATTCTGGGAATCATGATTAATAATTGTTCTGCATCTAAAACCAACAGAATGGGTATTAGTCATTATAGTTATTAGGACGTAGCCAAGCACGTTAGCAAGGGTCATTCTAACTTAGTATAATACATTTCAACCTTTCTTCTCTCTACCACTACCGATCTCTACGATACATTAGTACGATGTATTTTAAGTTCAGTGTCAAAATTCTGCTTTTGATTCAAAATATTAAGAATATAATTGTGTATATACTACTTATGACGTCAACAAAATCTGATTAGTTAACAGGTACAAATATCTAAACTTAGAAATACTAAATTCTCTTAATTTGTTTGGCGAATAGTATCTTTGATTGGTAATCGGTGAAATATATAAATCATACTATTAGTCTTATCGTGTTGATACATAATATATTTTTTTTAATTGGTATCATATTTTTGTACATAGGTGCGTCTCCGTACGACAATAGAATATGTCTTCAAGAAAACAACACTGATGCAGCAAGTTCTCAAAGCGCCAAGGGAGAAGAAGAGCTATCGCGAGTATACCAAACGCTGTCCTTACCAACTTTACCGAGAGAGGATAATAATTCTAATAATAGGTGGGTTTGGACGTGCAACTTTTAGAAAAATATCTTCCTTAATAAAATGTAACTCAATCGATTTGTACTTTATACTGATGAAAAATCATTTTGTTATGTTGTAGCACGACTGAAACAAAGAGTAAATCTAAGTCAACGACCCCAGCCAGCCCAGGAAGCTCTGAAATGAAGCCGCAGTCCACCACGCCGACGTCGCAAGCTCTTACCAAGCCTCCCTATTCCTACGTAGCTCTCATCACGATGGCAATCCAAAACAGCCAAACGAAGCGTGCAACACTGAGTGAAATATACGCTTACATCACCAAGGAATTTCCATTTTTTGAAAAGAATAAGAAAGGGTGGCAAAATTCGATTCGGCATAATTTAAGTTTAAATGAATGTTTTATTAAAGTTCCGAGAGAAGGTGGTGGTGAGCGTAAGGGAAATTATTGGACTCTTGGTGAGTTTTTGTTTACCTATTTAAGTAAATATAACTTGTCGTGTAAGCTGATGTACGAGGTTTAGTCTACTTTATTTTTTTATTCATTTATTCTGTTAGCACAAATGCAATGCGAATATTTGCCACCAGCTCCGCGACCATTCACCGTCATCTCACATTTCATACTTACATCAGAAAGCGAATTGCTGGCGTTGTGATCCTGCTCCAATGTTTATAGACTCTTGGGTGGTGAGTGTAGTATTGTTTTAGATCCTCAATGCGGAGAGATGTTCGAAAATGGAAACTTCAGACGCCGACGACGGATGAAGAGGCCGTTTCGAGCTACACCTTACTCCAAAACACTGTACGGAGACAGCTACCACGTGGCACACGTTGGTCAACATGTGCCACCCCACATGCAGCCTCTTCCACTTGGGGCTAGGAATTACTTTGGGTCCGGGTCACCATACCATCCGCCTTCGTACCCGAGATACGACACGTGAGCATTATATGTTACGAATTCCTATAAATTATGTCTAGTATGAGTTAAGGTCAGTTACCTATTTGAAATGATAATCCATACATGGTCTTAATGCCTGCAAGCCTACTTCTAGATCCCCAACCTTCCAGTGTTTAAGCTAATAATTCATCCAAACAGGTATTATAAAAAAGAGTGTTCTTGGTTTTTATAATTTAAAAATTCGTTTGTGTTATTCACTAAGAATATGATTAAATAAAAAAATAAAAATGTTGAACTTTAGTTTGTTACGAAAAAAGGAACATTTTATAGAATCAAATGGACTCAAGACTCTTAAAATCAATAATTCATTATTTCGGCACGTAGATTTTGTGTTTATTACTAAACTGTATTAAACATACTTATAGATAGGTCGTTGGTTGGTCAGGGCATCTCATTTGGATACCGCATTTAACAAAACACGTTTGTACGATGTTTCTTAGTAACTACCCTTCAAAATAAAAGAGGTTAGGTAGCTGTCTAGGGTATCTAAATTCAAGTTCTTTTCTTTTTCTACAATAAATATTGATATGTTAATATTTATCGCAAATCTTTCTTTTTAAATAAGTAAATTCAAATGTAGGACGGCAAACAAGCTGACCCATATTTCCCTGATGGTAAGCAATCAGCGCCCACCATAGACACGGCGTTGCCGACCTTTTTGGGTTTTGGAGATTTAGGGATTGAGGGACGGGAAAGATTTGACCATTCCCATTAAACTCACTCACCCGGCAAAACACAACGCTGCGGTTGTTTCACGACGGTTTTCTATGAGGCCATGGTGTCACTGCAGTCAACCCGACCAATTTATGCCGAAGCATGGCTCTTCCACATTTAATTAGTACATCGTCTGATACAATACATATATGTATATTACGACGCCGACATTGGCAGGGAGAGCAAGGAGAAAAAATAAGCTACGAAATAAAAAATTCATAGTATCAACTAGCGACCCGTCACTGCTTCGCATGGATTTCCAACTATCTCGCTAACAACGAAAGGATCCCAATTCCGCAGCTGTCCCCTCTACTTTTCCAAAATTTTCTATCATAAGAACATTCTCCTGACTTGAAAAGAGACTGACCTCTGAGTTTGTTTTGGCATTTATTCTCAGAGTAGTCAGATGGGAAATGCCGGCGTCATCTAGTTTTTCACATATAAATTGACGTGTGAAAGAGCCGTTTTATGGCCTATTTGCGAAAGTAAATTCATTGTTTTATTTATTGTTTCATAAAAAAAGAATTGTTATAATTGGTTTTAGAATTATGTGCCTACTACCACATTTTCGATACATTCTTATGTATAAACTAGCGGCATGCTTCTCACGGGTGCAATTATCTTAAACGAAAAGGTCACTTCCTGATCTTCCCTTCTTATATACTTTTTTAAAATTTTCTTTCATAAAAACCTTCTGATAATAACAAATACATAAAATAATTACTAAAATCGGTCCAGGCGTTATTGAGTTCTGCGCTTACCAACACATTTTCCGATTCATTTTTATACCTACATATATAGATTATGATAAATGTTTACGGTTCTCATACTAGTGTTTACAAAACACATGATAAATTAACTGATACATTTGCTAAAGAATCTTACATCTGATTCCTTCGGCTTTTCATCTAGATAGCTATCAATGGATGTAATAAATTTGGATGTTACTTAAATTGTTTAACTGACTGCTGATTTTTCAATGGTTAGATAAAGTTCCGTTAGGGGAATAATTATGATGCTATCGCATCAAAATGATTGTATAAGACAGTAACAGCAACCATTTTATTCGCCAGATAACATTTATCTGGCTATTGAAAAATCAACTCTTAATGATTAAAACAATGATAAGAGTTGTTAAAGCTGATGTCTATATTTCTTAAGCACTAAGCCTTTAAGGCCTAACTCATTCTGTCTCCTGCATTAAAGTAAATTTAATGCAGGAGACAGAATGAGTTAGGCCGAGGGAAGTAGAAACTATTTAGTTTTTTCTTCTCCTCAAATAATATCTCCTGATTTATTTCGTTGCGGAATCTAAGACAGTCGGTTATTCATGTCCCTGGGACTCGCCGGACTCCAGTGTTCCGGTGTCTTCATGGTTGTATCTACTGTAGATCCTGGCTTACAGGTGTTGCAGCGGTTCCGAAAGATTGCGGCGGGCTTGTCCCAAAAAAAAGCACAAAGCCTGAACGAAAATAGAATAATATCTTAAGTTGAAGAATTAGTCACGTAATTATCGATGTATTGATAATTTACATAAATTTATTGAAAATAATTACATACTGAAGTACTCACAACAGAAACATTTATTCAAGAGTTGCATGCCCATGCGCGTTGTCAAGGAATTTAGAATGTCTTTGTACTCATTACTACACAAAAAGTTAATATAGTAAATATTAATTTATAGTATCCAATGTATTGCTGCTTGGCGTATGTGTGCAATAATGTATATATAAATAAATAAATAAATATTTTTTCCTTTTAACTTCAGTCAATACAGAGGGATCGTTTTCAGAGTAAAAGAAACACCTCCGTCGACAAACTTCACAAGTTAGTTTTAAAAATAAAAAATAAAAATAGAAATTAAAGAAATTGTAAATAGATAATGCACAGTATCAAAGCCTTTACACACCTCTGTATGCACTGAAAAGCATGACCATGGATGGTGGCCAGCCCGAAACAGTGGAGATTCAATGGGTTTTTTGATTGTGGCTTTTTTGATGTTTCGTTGTAGGTTTTTAAGACCTCACGGTTCTCGTTAAATCTTGCAACGTATTGCCTCTTTATACACTGAAAACAATCTATTGGATGCCCAGAAACACTACTTATCCATTCCTCAGAATGAGTCGAATATTAGTCCATGTAATAACTGGTAGGACTCTGTTTGTCTTCTTCTTCTAAGTTTGTATGTTTAGTGAAAGCACTTTCGTTTGATACATTCTATTCGTATTGATGCAATTGGGAATGTCACACTGGTAATAGAGGAAGTTATGGAGATTGCCAAATGTGAACGATAAGCAGCCCGATAGCCTTATTTATTATTTATTTATGTACATATTTATTGACCAAAAAGATCCATTTTAAGTTTTACGATTTAAAAAAAATGTTCGACAAAACTATACACATACATAGTTTGTCTGCCGAATCAATTAAAACGTTGTTTTATTGTTGTTATAAAACTGCAACTAAATATTAAAATTTTGGGTATTCACTTACCTACTCGAATAATATCACGCCAGATTAATGGGTGGCGGAATGAGCTACGGTGCGATTTCATGGCGGAGTGGTAACAGCGACTGGTTATCATGAACCTTTTGGCATGGCACGACACGCATTTCGGTTTGCAGTCCATTATCCTAATATTACTCGTACTTATCCTGGCAATAAAGCTATGCAACTGTAATTGGGGTTGTTGTCGCCTATCGCCTATTTGAACTAGCTGGAGAAAGCTGGCAATGCTGGAAATGTATGAAGGATGCATCGAATAGTAGTTAGTAGGTATTGCTGATGTTGATGCGACGATCTAGTCTGTCTATCATGCAGCAGTTAGGTTCTTGTTCTCATCTGTCGTCTTAACATTGACAACAGTTGAGCGTGTAATTTTTTATTTACTCGTGTCTGGCTACGATTGCAAGCATTGCGCTTGTAATGTAATATACCGCGACTTCAGCCCGGAACAAGAGAAAAAACAGGTTTTTTAGTCAGTAACAGTCTGACCTAAGGTCGTGGTGATCCAGAAATTAAGGCTCCCACTTTTCATGCATGAGGAAGCTTATAGTTTCTAATTATAACTTGGAAATCACCTATCCGTCTTGAGAAAGCGTGGTGTGGTGTTCAAACCTGCTACGTGCGAGACGAAGCTTTTGCTCAGCAGTGTGCTTAGACTGATAATGTGAGATTTGACAAGCTGGTTGATGATCTCCCTCAAAAAAAGTAATTTTACGTCATCAGACCGAAACCAAAAAATATCCGCTGCGTGCGCGTTGCGCAGCTGGCTTTCTGCTGCTGAATTTTGTAAGCCAAGTTTTCAAAATGTTCTATTATTTTTGTAGTAGATTTGTGATTGATGATACTTTAACTATTAATACATTTCAATTACAATAGGTATAAAACTGCATAATACTATTGATAATTACGAGATACTTTAATTGGATGAAAATTCGAATTTTGTAAGTTTATCAACTGCGGCTGTCCTTTTGATAAATAGTGTATCTTGTTGACGCGATATCTCTGTGTTGCCCGACTTGATTATGAGCTCTTTATTATGTAGTACTAGATTCTGTCGGCGGCTTGGACAGGCAGTAAGGATCGGGTGAATAGTTTTATTCCTGAAAAAGAGTACCTAGAGTAAGTGGATCCATATATAGCTAGTTTAACTAGTGATCATTGGCGCAATTAGCGCGCAATTAATTAATTATAATAAGAATAAAAATAGTTCTTGTTCTAGAACTGCGCGTAAACGGCCTTATTACAAAACAACGTTTTACTTTAGTCTAGGACTAAACCATTGAGCCAGTTTTCGTATTTCGAAACCCGACTCAAGGGCTTAAACCTGGACTAAAATAAACCTTCTTTTATAATAACGGGGAAAGCGTTTAGTTCAACTAAATATAAAACCCTTGAAAACCTAATTACAACAAAGAGTTGAGGACCAAGCTTTATAAATAAAAAATCGCCTCAAATATTTTAATTCAATTCAGTAATTATCATACGAGTATATTATTGTGAATAGTCCGTTCTGTCAGGGAGTTGGAAATTCAAGGCTTTTGGAATTATAAGTTTAGGTCATCTCACTACCGATAAGTTAAGAAACTGGGCTGACTAGTAAACAAACTATGTATTCCTACGACACTCGTCAGACTTGACCTGTATTTCAAATGGTATAACGTAGTAGCGTAATTACTGCTGTATTATTCAATGACCAAGCATGCCTAATTAATATCAGTAAAATAAAAAGAATTTTTGACATTAAAACACTAACAACTAACTAATTTGAATTAAAAATGGGTCTTGCAGCCGTAAAGTATGTTTTAAGTTACGTGTTGCTCGAAACACTCGCTGTGCCCAGTTAGCACATGTTTAAGTGGTGTTTAAATATTTCCAGTACATGGTTGACGCAGTCGCCGAGCGGGCTAGGGTACGCGGGCGCGTGCGGAAGTATGGGACGTAGTCCACCCGGGTGTTCGCCACACAGCGCGTTACCTCACCAGTCGTCGCCCGTCGCCGTCAATCCCTTCGCAACACATCAAATTCAAGGACAGGTAAATCCAAACTTAGTATTTTCTAATAATTATGAAACATTTTTTAACTTAGATCTATCTAATTAAATCTAGTGAATATTTGGTCGTGTGTATTTGGCTCTTTAGTGAAGGTAGTGTAGTACCTACTACCCTCTAATAGTAATAGGAACGGGATCTTGTAATTCAGTTTTATTGAAATACTTATAATGAAACAAATGATTTATAAACAAGTCTTGTAATGCTATTCTGAACTCCGATGGCGTGTTAAGAGGCTAATTTCATTTCAGTAATTAAATCGAGATTAAAATTTGAGTAGCGTATCAAGAAGCAGTAAAACCGCATGTTCACAAATTGGCGCTATGACTGTTCAATAAACGCCTTTAACGGTGAAATAACTAAGAATACGAATGTACTTAAGACGTTTGATTCAACAAGCTTTAAAACAAATAGTTTTATGAATTATAAATAGAAACAAATAAAAAAATATAAGCGGCAGCGGTTTCACCAACCTCATTTCGCTGGAACACACACAGACTCCGGTAAAGAATTATTAAACTCTTTCGCGGTTGACGGTAACGACCAACCGATACGTATATCATAATACATTTTATGCCAATCACAGTATTGTATGTTTTGAAACACGTCTAATTAATCTTCGGTTATAGGGTTCCGTAGTCAACTAGGAACCCTTATAGTTTCGCCATGTCTGTCTTTCCGACTGTCCGTTCGCGGATAATCTCAATAACAGTAAGCACTGGAAAATGAAAATTTGCTGGTAGCAAATTTGTAATAAAATAAATATATGTAATTAAACCACTGACGCCGCCGACAGTGCTTAAATAAAAAGTGTAAAAAGTATTTTTTGTAGGATTTTTTTAAAGGGTGCGGTTTAGTGCGTGATTTTTTTTTTCATTTTAACGCTAACGTGTGGTACTTTATTGGATAGGCATTAAACAATAAATATGGTTTACTACGATAATTTTTGATACTAGGTATTACCATAAGTTCAGAACATATCTCAAAAGTAGCACTTTTTAGAGAAGATTCAGAAATTTTCAAAAAAAAACAGAACTTTTTTACTTTGTTATTTATGTGGGTTTGGTTCAATTGGAACTGAATTTAAAATCGGATTTGTCTTGAAAAAGGATATTTATTATATTTTTTACATGAACTCGTCTTAGTTCGTCTTTACCGTCTTTCGTCTTTTCATAAATCCTAACCCAAGTTTCACATCTTAAGCATATTTCTATCTCTTTCACTCTTGATACTAGTTCACCATACTTTATCTCTTTCACTCAATACTCATGCTTATCATCTCATCATTTGTCATTAATTTTACCTTTCCTTTCACTCCAACAATTACGTTCCTACATTTATCTATATTTTATTATTCTAAATGTATCTTCTTTCAATTAAAATAATAATTAATAGAAACGGTATACCTAATCCAAAATTACCACTATAAAAACTTAACATAATCCGTCTAGTTTGTGTAAATTAGTTACCCAGAGAGATGGTGCTGTATTTTAGCTACTTCTCCCTGAAATGCGGTGTTAAAATGAAATGAAGAATGACTCTTAAGTGGAGACACTTATTGTGGCAGACTGAAGCTACGGAACCCTACACTGAGCGTAGTCCAATACGTTCTTCGCCGGTTTTTTTCAGTTGAACGGCTGTTGCGTATGGTCTCGACTACTGCATATGTTTCTTAGTGTATATATTTTAGGTAAGCTCGTAGTTTTGAAATATAAAGTTTTAGTTGTATTTTGCTAGTTATTGATTTTGAAACACATTTGACGTTTTCGCGTTTTTCTGACGATGTTATTTGGAGGATTTTTTCTTGTGCCTTAATTTAAACAAAATCTACTTATTTGGCAATTTTCATTACAAATTTGCACTCGCAACAGTATCGGCCATAGCGCATTTTACTATAGAGGTAAAAAATGAATCGTCGTTCAAATTACGTACATGAAGATGCTGAATGTAAGTTTAACAAAAACATTTAGTTACAATACATGCAACGAGAAGTTCAGAAGGAATACATTATTAATTTAGATCTAAATAATTCATAAAAATAAAATTTTATGAAGAACAATATTGTGCGTCGAGGTTGTCAGGAGCATCCTTTTTCTAGGGATTTTCACGTTCTACGGCTACGCTCTCCAGTCTGTCTACTCTAAGCCGCATATGGTTGTTAAATTAATGTATTTTTAATGTGGGATTTTTATATATACATAATTATTATTATTACATATGAAGGCACCGGGGGGTTGGTACAAACATCAACAATAAATAATTGTCGCTCCGACACATACATAAATTAGTTATGTTTGTACATATTGGAAAAGTATATCTTGTTATTATTTATATTAAGTTTGGTCGTAGTTAAGTGCTATAGTGCTAGGTTTAATTATTTTTCTCTGCTTTTGTAACCATTTTCTTAAACATTGTGTCTCAGTTGTGGTAAACTATCCTGTCGCATGGCCTCAGGAAAATTCAAAAAGGAATATGCAGTACCTATAATCTTTACTTACTTTTGTCTTTTACAATATATGTTATGTACAATATTTCATAAATATACTAAGCATTGAAAATAGTTTTATTAATAATAAATAAAATACCTCAATCCTATCATTTTCCATTGCACGACGAAGTGACCGAATTCAAAACTCTTCACTTTCTTATAAGCAGAATATCTGCAAAACAAATATTAGATTTAATTTTAGTAAAAACTTGACATCTTCTTTTATGTTAAAGGTATGAGATTTTCACTATTAAAATTTAATAGGATTGTCAGATCACGAAACGGCACAAACGGTAACCATAAAAGCTAGAAAACAGAAAAAAATATCGTATTGGTCAGAATTAAAACGTGACTATTGTTCGGAAAACCTGAAAAAATTTGTTGAGTGTATATCTTGTCTTTCTTTTTCGGAAACTTTTAACTGTAATACTCTAACAGAAGCGTTTAATTTATTTTATGAAACTTTTACAATGTTTTACAATTTGTGCTTTCCGACCATTAAAGTCAAAGTCAATAATAAACCAATCGCGATAAACTGGATAACGAAAGGCATTAAAAAATCGAGTAAAATGAAACGTCAGCTATACCTAAAATTTAAACGGAATAAAACAAATAAAAAACAAAATGAGAACAACTACAAACTCTATACTAATGTATTCAAACGATGTACACAAACAGCACATAAACTTATAAACACAAGACGTATACAAAAGCATAAAAATAAATGTAAAGCTACTTGGAACGCAATCTCCTCAACAATTTCTAATAATGACATGTATAAAAATGATATTGACGAAATAAATTTGAAAAATGTGACTTATAATAATCCACATGACATTTGTAATATATTTAATGACTATTTTATTAATTTAACATCTAATCAGACATCTAATAATAACATTAATATACATAAAAATAATAAAAGTCCTAATGCTATTTTCCTGAGTCCTGTAGATGCACATGAAGTGTATAAAATCATAATGTCTTTAAATAATAGCAAAGCTTGTGGATACGACGGTGTTGTAACGCAAGTTTTAAAGGCTTGTGCCAGTTGGATATGTCACCCGTTAGCACATATTATAAACTTATCTTTTGAGGAAGGTACATTCCCAGATCAACTTAAATTGTCTATCGTGAAACCATTATTTAAAAAGGGAAATAAGTCAGATCCTAATAACTATCGGCCGATCACAATAGTACCCATCACGTCCAAAATTTTTGAAAAAGCAATGCTGACCAGATTTAATCATTTTCTCAGTAAAAATAACATATTATGCAAAGAACAATTTGGTTTTCGTAAAGGTAGTTCAACTGCTCTTGCAATCTTCAACTTAATTAAAATTGTCACAGAAAGTATTAATAATGGCAGTCCAGTTGTATCTCTTTTTTTAGATATGAGCAAAGCCTTTGATTTTGTAAATCATTCGAAACTTTTAAATAAATTAGAATTTTATGGCATTAGGGGTAAAGCATATGAATGGATATCTAGTTATCTAAGAGATAGAAATCAGTGTACAGAAATTTCTAAAGTCATAAAGAAAAATGATAAATCATATTCCAAGGAAAAGTTTACATCTATTTCAAAACCAACTAATTGTGGTGTGCCTCAGGGTAGCATTCTCGGCCCTTTGCTTTTCTTACTTTATGTTAATGATCTTCCAGAGGCTAGTTTACAAAAATGCATCCTTTTCGCAGATGATACTACACTTGTTATAAAATATGATGATAAAAATGATTACAAATCAGTTATCGACAAGACCTTATCAGATATCATAAGCTGGATGGAAGATAATAATTTAAGTATTAACATAAGTAAAACAAAATTAATTCAATTTAACTCTTATAATTCCAAACAATTGGCTTTAGATATTATTTGTAAAAAAGAAAAAGTAGAACAAGTAAATGAACTAAACTTTTTAGGAGTCATTGTAGACAACCATCTTAACTAGAAGAGTCATGTGGAACATATTTGTCAGAAACTGGATAGGTTTGTGTTTGCTTTAAAAAAATTAAGACAAAATGTTTCATTAGAAGCTGCTTTGTCGGCTTACCATGGTTATGTGTCATCTGTACTAAACTATGGAGTAATAATGTGGGGCAACTCGACTGATGCCGATAGAGTTTTTAAACTTCAAAAACGGTGCATCCGAGTTATTAACAAGGCGTGGTTCTTAGACAGTTGTAAACCTTTATTTCAAAAATATAAAATTCTTCCACTGCCTTGTATATATATAAAAGATATCTGCATTTTTACGAAGAAACACATGCATTATTTCAAGTACCGCAGTGAGGTTATGTCAAGGCAAAAAAGGGCTAAATTTAATAACCTACTGTATCAACCGCCTGTTCATAAAGATATCTATAAGAAAAATGTGTGTAATATGTGTATTTTGATTTATAATAACCTCCCAAATGAACTGAAATTGTTACATGGTAATCTATTTAAAATACAATTGACACAGTGGTTACAAAAAAACTGTTTTTATAGTATTAAGGAATTTATAGAATTCGGAAATAAACGTAGCTTTAATTAGTAAAATTATGTGGACGATAAAATTGTATAAAATAATTATATTAAGTGGATTTTTTTTTATTATTAGATTCTTACATTAATCGAATTTATTAATATTGTATAATTATGATAATAACGAATTAATTGCATGATATAGATCATTTAATGACATAATTATAAATAATTTGCACGCTTGCTTGCAGGCTGAATGCAGTGACTTTTAGGATATAAGACCTTTCCTTATTAAACAATGTAATTCTTGCAAATAAACACTTTTGAACTAATGTCGATTCAAATGACCGGACAAATTTGAAGAAATTGATTTGTTTTTGTTTCAGCTCCAGAGTCCTTTGCAGCCCATGCAGTCGATGTCAATGAATTCTTATAATACTATTGGAGTCAGTGCCATAGGTATTTTCCTAAATTTTTCATTATCACATAAATAAACAAGGTCGCTTTATTATGTAATAACAGTTTTGTGATACCCATGTCTATATGTAGGTTAAATTACATTTATTTCAACACTTACAATAATAAAAGGATCATGTCCACAGGTCCGTAGGTGGAGAAATAACCCAAAATCGATTAATCAATTCTTATGTGGTGTAGGGTAGAAGGTACATCCCAAATCTAGTAATAATTTGCAATTAAGATATTCAGAAATAAAACAATTTAACAGTTTTTTTTAAATCTCTCATTTAGAGCTGAGGTTCCGGGGAATGTATTTGGATCGCCAAGTATATGTCCTCTACCTCAAAAGTCTTCAATAACTACGTCCTTCAGAATGGGTTCTTAATTAAAGCTTTAAATAACCGTTATAGAGAATATAACTCAAGTCACAGGATTTGTATTAAGTGCGACTCCCTGCTTCCTGCACGGGTATATCCAACCAGTTACAATTCGCCGATCTCCCCTCTACTTTTCTAAAATTATATCTTTTAAGAACTTTCTGACAATATCAAACTCAACAAAATAAAAATTGGCATCACATTTTCTATTAATTTTATTGTTAAATAGATTGTTTTGTATTTTAATTTCCAATAAAGTCGAATCGATGCCAGCCTAAACATGATACCTATTATTTTATTAATATCATTTCAACTAAACCTGACTATGAAATGCTTGCTCGAAGGGTTTCCGCTATTTTTGTGACCGTGACTGTGATCGTAAATTTATATGGTAATTGTAAGAACCTTGAGAGACAAGTGTCAGAAAGAAAGAAACCTTTACACAATCAACCAATTAGATAGAAAAAATAAAATTGGCCGTAACCAACATTTGTGTATCCATTTTTGGATAAATGTATGAAAAACCTAAAAACTTGTTAGTCATTTAATTGCAGGGTGAGCGATTTGGAGGTATACAACGAGGCATTGTTTGATAAATTACATATTTAGATTTCGCAAATTACGCATCGAAAATGACATACACTGGTTTATTCGCCTCATCGGCCCAAAATTTATAGAATCAGTTTTAAACTCCTAATTTTGCTGACCTGTACATTTAGCTCCTAGTAAATCTAGCTCATGAAGAAAACAATTCGTTTAAAAAAAATTATATTTCTTATTTTTAGATGGTTCCCCGAGCCCAGGACCAGGATATGCCCCATCTGCTGGTGGCTTTTCACCCAACAGACATCATGACATAGTCACGTCATCAGACGCTGCCGTTACTCGATTTTTTTGGCCTGAAGGTAAATAGTAAATTATAGTTCCTAAAAAAATATTTGTATCAAGGTCCCTGTCGGACTTATAGTCCAAACAGTAGTGGTTACATAAAACACGGTAGGAATGTTCAGAACACCAATGTTAACTTATAATAAAGGATTTTGTAGCTAAACGCCAAAAATATTTAAAATGAAGCATTGCTATAATAAGTAACCTACAAAGCTTTTGCTACAATTAAATACAATTATGGGACCTAAACTTAAAAAATACAGACACAGCTAGTCATAAGTGTACCGTCGGCGTAGTTATAGTTTGGATATTTGTATGGTGGCGGGTAGATTGTAATACTTATTTAATAAATCAGTTAGCTGCTAACCCTCGCCTTTCATTGACGCTGCATTGGCGACGAGGATGGGATTGAAGCCCTCATAAGCCATGAGCTTGATGAGTGCTTGGGTGGCCTCAAAATTAGACTTGGACACCCTTCCAATAACCGCAGCTTTAACCATTTCCCTGTCAGAGGGATTGACTAAGAACAGTTGGTCATTTGCGATGGAGTCCCTAGTCTCCGAGGCAACTTTCAGATAATCTTTTAAGATGCTCCAATCTTCGGCCGGACTAGTAGCTTTTGGGGGAAGTCCTGGAGGGGCTGCAGATGATCCGGCAGTGTTGGAGTACACACTTTCTCCACCTTTAGGCATCTTGTCTTCTACTTTTCCACTAGTCTTGTCTTTTAAATTTAACGATTTAGTCCTAGTGTAATGTGTCTTATCGTCAGACGATAACTTTGACATATGATAATGATTTAAGTTGTATTATATAATTTACCAGGTCTGTGTGTGATTATGAATTGTGTGATTGTTGCGACCCGACACTAGCAAACTTGATGCCATATCCAACGCACCCAGGCCCGAAAATATAACCCAACTAAAAAGTTTCTTGGGTATGTTAAATTATTACGGAAACTTTTTTAGTAATTTGAGTACGCTATTACACCCATTACACAGTTTATTAAAGAAAGATGTGTGCTGGAAATGGACACAAAGTTGTGAGCGAGCATTTAATGAAGCCAAGCGTGTTCTCCTGGGCGATCAAGTTTTACCACATTACGAGGAGGGGCGGCCACTCGTACTGTCGGTAGACAGCAGCGCATACGGACTTCTGTGTTAGCACACCGCTTCACATAAGTCTAATATTGAGGCGGCGCCAGAGCCGGTAACCTCACCACCATCACCACCGCCGGGAGCGTCTGCTCCTGCCCTGCGGGCTCATAATCGGGCACGTCTGCATTTGTAGGAATGTGTTTAGATATAAGTAGATATACATAGGACTAGCTTAAGGGGGAGAAATATGTACCGTCGGCGTAGTGGCGGGTGGATTGTAATACTTACGAGTATTTAATAAATCAGTTAGCTGCTAACCCTCGCCTTTCATTGACGCTGCAATAAGAAGGGCTGACTAAGCGTTTCGAATTCTTTAAATAAAATATATGCGTGATTAAGTGGCAAAATAAAGCGATATTGTACATAACCGTTGGTGTATTTCCTTTTAAACATTTTAGTTATAAATCTTGAAAAATACCTAAAATTACGTTGTTTGGCGTCTCAAGTCTTCCGTCTTATCTCTATCTTCATTCAGTCTCCTTCACTCGTACGCATACGTTCGTTACGTATTTAGACTCCAAAGGCCTATAGTCACAACTCTAAATGACCCAAAAATATAATTACCGGTAATATATTATGTTTGCGCTTCTTGATGTTTTCCCGACAATCCGCCTTTAATGGAAGATAAGAAAGTGCAAGGGTGTCGAAACAGGTTGCGTCCCGCATTGAAGATTTTCCTAACTACGATTAGGCCTCCTAATAATATCTTCGTGCGCCAAGAGTAATGTAATGCCTCTTGGTTCCAAAACAACTGGCATTCCAGCAATGATAAAAGCTCGAAGAATAAAGTCGTTAATGCTGGCGTGCTATCCGGGCGGCGTTCTTGCAACATGATAGATAGACTGCCTTTTGGTAGTCGAAGTTGGAGGGGTAACCATACCTGGCTCAGGTAGGGCACAACTCCATGCCTGGCTCAGGCAGGGCACAACTCCATTGCCTGGCTCAGGCAGGGCACAACTCCATTGCCTGGCTCAGGCAGGGCACAACTCCATTGCCTGGCTCAGGCAGGGCACAACTCCATTGCCTGGCTCAGGCAGGGCACAACTCCATGCCTGGCTCAGGCAGAGCACATCTCCATGCCTGGCTCAGGCAGGGCACAACTCCATTGCCTGGCTCAGACAGGGCACAACTCCATTGCCTGGCTCAGGCAGGGCACAACTCCATTGCCTGGCTCAGACAGGGCACAACTCCATTACCTGGCTCAGGCAGGGCACAACTCCATACCTGGCCTGGCCTGGCTAGTTGTGCCCTGCCTGAGCCAGGCAATGGAGTTGTGCCCTGCCTGAGCCAGGCAATGGAGTTGTGCCCTGCCTGAGCCAGGCAATGGAGTTGTGCCCTGTCTGAGCCAGGCAATGGAGATGTGATCTGCCTGAGCCAGGCAATGGACATGTGATCTGCCTGAGCCAGGCAATGGAGATGTGCTCTGTCTGAGCCAGGCAATGGAGATGTGATCTGCCTCTACATCTACAGATGGGGCCGATATTCAGCCGACGTTGCAAGGCAAGTTCAATAGAGACCGCGGCTTTGGCCTAGCACATAAGAAGGAACGGAGTGCTTTTTAATTTGTAGGAGTTTGACACTTCATCTTGCCTCGCTCTAGGTGATAAGACACTTTATAATTATCTCCGCACAAAAAGAAAAAAAATATCATTTCTTTCTATTATACTACGAAGGACAAACGATCTGACCGTAAAAGTGTCTGTTAGTAGTACTCGTAAAGCTACTGTGTTTACCTGAAAAGGTCTGTTTATGATACCAGGGGTGGCTGGAAAGTTATCTACCTAACATAGAAAGAAAAGACATAGGAAGCTCATTTTTTTTTATTTTTCAATATAGTCCCCTGCCGTACTGATGCCTACCGTAATGAACTTGTTATATTTGTCAATAAGCGACATTAAACCGTCAAAAAAATATTTCTTGGATTGGTCGTCAAAATGGTAATCCACAGCGGCCTTCATTTCTTCATCGGTCGAAAATCGCCTCCCTCTTAGGCTTTTCTTCAAATTTCTAAATAGGAAATAGTCACAGGGGGCCAAATCTGGACTATAGGGTGGATGGTTTAGTTCCGTAAAGCCATTCTTGCTTAAGACTGACCTTGCATGTAAAGCTGTGTGGACCGGAGCATTGTCTTGCAAAATTAAAACTCCTTTGCCGAGTTTGCCTCGTCGTTTTTCTTTTATGGCTTCTCGCAGTTGGTCAAGTAAGCTGGCGTAGTAAGCTGCGTTCATCGTAGTATTTTTTGGTAGGTAATCTATCAATAGAATCCCCTCGACATCCCAAAAAATTGTTGCCATAAGCTTGCCTGCTGATGGCCGAACCTTAAACTTGCGCGGTGGCTTCTCCCCTTTAAATTTCCACTGTAAAGACTCCTGTTTGCTTTCAGTGTCCTATTGGCGAATCCAGGTTTCGTCGCATGTTACTATTCTAGAGATAATTTCTTCTTCTCTGTCTTTTACTAAGTCCAAAAATGCCTCACAACATTCGACGCGTCGTTGTTTATCAAAGGGCGTCAGCATTCTCGGTACCCATCGGGCGCTCACCTTTGTCATCCCTAAATGTTCGTGAATAATAACGTGAACACGTTCCTTACTGATCCTGACATCCCTAGCGATTTCCCACTGCTTGACTCTCCTATCTGCGAGTATTATTTTTTTCACTCGAGCCACCGTGTCTTCTGTAACTGCAGAAACCGGCCGTCCGCTACGGGGATCGTCTTCTAGACTCACACGGCCATGTTTAAATTGTTTATACCAAAATCGGAAGGACATGAATCGCCAAACACATTGAACATCCGTTGTTTTATTTGCGAAGGAGTATTTCCTTCTTTAGTTAGGAATTTAATCACGGAACGCTGCTCAATTTTAAGCATTTTATTATTTTCATCCGACATGTTTACTGTGTTAGTGGACTATTCGTAATGAAAACAATTAAAACAAATGAATGCTATTATTTTCAAATAAAGAATACATAAGTATTAAAGCTTCATAGTGGCCAGTATCATTTTTGTAACTTTATTGAACAAAGTAGATTAGGTATATATCAGCCACCCCTCGTAATTCCCAATTTAAAGTTAATCTGATGCAATTGTAGTTATTATTAGTAAATCTTTTCTAGAATTCATTTTAACCTACTTACTTTATAATAGCATTAACAATAGTAAGGGAGGTTCTTGATCTTAATACATTATACTTATGGGCACTGAATATCAGTTATATCCATTGGTTTCCAAAATGATCCTTTAGTCCCATAACAAATTATATTTACTGTTTTATACTGCTTTCTAAGACTGTGTTCAATTGTTACGACTGTTGTAGATCTTCGTATGACAGCCGGGTCGGACGGCTTTATGAGCTCGCCGAGCCACGGGATGAAACATCGCCAACTTCCAGAATCTATTCCCGGTAATTTAATGATGAAAAAACGAAAGTTATTTCTGCCCGATTCCTTGATTTCTGAGTAGATTGTATACAATTATGGCTTTTACTTCAAGTTATTTTCTAACATTGTCTACTATTTCATTTGATTGCAGGTGGATCCCCCAGTCCCAACCCAAGCTATGTGCCGTCTAGCAGTTTTTCGCCAACGCGTCGGCATGAAGCAGTCACGTCATCCGATGCAACGAGCGCTCGTTTGTCTTTTTGGCCCGATGGTGAATAAATAAATCTTTCTTATAAGTATAGAAAAAATGCTAATAGCCACAAGACTACAGCTGTGTGTAGTGTATGTTAGTTAAACAACACACACTACACACAGCAACAAAAAATATGATGAGTATTAAGCAAATGTGGTTTTTTGAGTTTTCTATGACAATGCAGAATAAATTAATAAGATTGATCAGATTACTCTTCTCGAGGATTGGAATCCCGTGGTCTTATAGACGTGTCATTCTTAAATCGTAAATCACCAACCAAATTAACAACAATTTGTGAAACACAGAAATTAAACGGTGGTACCCACTGTTCTTAGTGCGTTTTTTAAGCCTATTAAACTTTTCTGACGACTTTTCTTCAAATTTTGATAGATTTCATGGAATTATGATCTAAAGTATCATATTTTAATCTTTGGTGTGTTCTTGATATAAAAATTGGCAAATAAAAATTATGTAATAAAATAACTCGAATCATAAGAGAAGCAAGAAAAATGTCACCAACGTCGGCGAGTCTCTTGCTATAAATATAAAATATTTTATTCCATCATTATAATTTCCACTTAATGATTTGGATAACACAATAAACTAAAAGTACCTAATAATGACAGTTATAGAAAAACAAAGAGTTTCGGCTTTTCTCCTTAGTTTTTGAAATAGCTTAGCTCCACCCGTTTCCCAACAAAAAAATTAGAATTTATTTTAATAACATTATAGTCACAATGTTTAAGCATAGATCGTGAGTGAGAAATTAAGGAACAGAATTCGCAGACCCATATGCCTTATTAATTAATTAATGTTAATATTATTTATTTGACAGTTGGCGTTAAAGAAGAAGCATCTTCAAGTCTCGTTTCTAATGCCGCACCTTATTCAAAATGTTTTATGTAAAGTTGCTAAAGTGAAGGGGAACACAAGACTAGAATATTCTAAGCACCATGCGTGAATTATTATGGAATGAATGACTGTAATATAAAGCTCGTGTAGTGATCAATGTATAAAATTAAATAATGTAAACGTGCATTTTAATTTGTCAGTCATAATTATGTGATGCAGTTAAAACGAATATTTTAGAAGAGTATGTGCATAAAGTGCACACGAATATTTGGAAATTTTCAGATTACATACCTCTGAAATATTCGTGGCAAAACATGACATAGATAGTTATTGATTTGAAATGATATTACATGTAGTGTACAATTTATTATGTGAAAATATATTAATTAATAGGTGTTGTTCAAAATCTTGTTGCTATCTTAGAAATAAATAATAGATTTGTAAGAAAATTATAAGTTTCTCGTGAAAGCAAATCCCCGATCATCTAGCTGGCATTGGCATAAAATAAAAGTCGTCCTTATATTGTTCATAGTATTTATAAAAAAAATTGGTTACACTCTTAACAATTTTTATTATTTAAATTTTAAAACCCTACAATTCTTACGAGTCTTGAAATATCAACAAAGTTTTGGTAATTACTGTTACGCAATTTATAAAAAATTAGTTCTTATAATATCATCAGAGGTATCTTATTTAATAGCAGCTAATGGACAATATAAATGATTGCGAGCTAAACGTACATATTTATTTGATTAAAATATAAGTTTATTATTTACCAAATAAATACATCGATGACAAATCCACAAATATGTATAGACTAATAACGTTGATATCTGTTGAGAGGCACTCGATTGGGTTAATCAAATTTGTGATAAAATGCGTGACTTGTCCATATAGATCAAAAATAAAGCTTCATTAGGTATATCGGGTAGCTACTATGTTATTAAGCAATAAAATCTTATATGACTGTTGTTTCGTTTTTATAAACAATTGAGACGAGATTTCCATGACATGTTATTATCACGAAATGTACAGTTACAAAACGTATACAAAATAAACGGTTAATAGATAGTTACATAAGTGTACTTAATATTTGCCAACAATACAACGTGTTGACACAAAGTACTAATTAGCTCATAAAATTATTTAAGTAGGCAACTATCTAACCTACATATGGCATCCCTTAAAACTAAAATATTCGAAATCTTAATTGATATTATGAATAAATTGTGATATTTTCTAAAATCTAAATTACGAGTAGAGTTAAAAATATATAATACATAAATGTAAATCGAGTAAAACATATCATATTTAAATTAATCTTAGAACACAAAAATGTTCGTGCTTATATATTAATATTTGATATCTGTAAAGCCACTTTCCATTGACACTCGTTTCTAGATTGTTCCACAGTAACCATTTTTTACACAGTGATAATAATATAAATGAAATTTATTGTATATGTTACAAGAAATGCAATTTTAGGTTAATCCTCTGGATTTGGGTTTCACTATCAAAATGTATAACAATATAAACCCCACTGGCGGTATCAAAAATAATCACATTTTATAATTTTGGACATTTCACCTCATTATGGTTATAACTATTCCTTAGAAACTCATGAACATTCTCTACCGATAAATACTTAAAAATAGATTTGTTTTATTTAGAACTGTCTTTGTGGATTCGTTTCAAACGAAGAGATTTGCTACGTGGCTCCGGAACCCGATTCAGCAAGCCAGATGACCTCTCAACACTTAGCGAGTGGCCACGTTCTCGCACTGGTATAGGATGATTCAGCAGATTCATGGAGGTGTTGTAAGCCGATATCATCGGTAACTCACTGTAACCACCAATATCACTCCTCAAATCGGACGCTGCCAACGATGTCAAGTCGTCAGAATCAGTATCTTCGTCTTCCGTATCCATAAACCTGAAAACAAAAATCTCTCTTTCAGAAAATAAAATAGAGATAAAGGAAAACATTCGCAAAGATAAATACACTAAATCAAAATTTACTTTCGCGAGTGCACTTACTCTAAAAGGGAATAGTTTAAAAATAGTAGTTTAATAATCATGAGTCCACATTTGGTGATTGCGCCGTATTCGCAAATTCTTTGCGAACAGCGCATTCGTCACATCTGGACATACCTTTACAGTGTAATGATGAAGACATGATACACACCTTAGCTCTATCTTACTAATTCTTTGTTTTATTTTAGCCTGTTCTTCTCCGACGTCAGTGAGTAGTCCTTGCAAACGATTATTCAACATATCAACGGTAGTTTCCAGTTTTTGAACAGTTTCCTCCATGCTCTGTTGTGTTGTTTGTGCGTTTTCGAAAACGGCTTCATCAAGCAATCCATCCTGTAGTTTCAAAAGAATTGTATATATTTGTATACATGTGTAAGAGTTTACATTTTAATTATGGTAATACTTATGTGCTTTATACTTTATATATTGGTGTGGTTATACTTTGGGTTAATACTGTATGTGGTTATACGTTTATACTTTATGTGCCACGTCTATTGTGACATTTGTGACATTGTTTACGAACCTTCCTTAATAACTGACATCCACGTTCAGTGAGTGTTGCTCTGGCATCTGGATAGTCAGCAAGTGCTTCCCAAAGATCTCTTTTTGCCAAGCAAAACAAGTCTGAATAGCCCAAGGCTCTCACATTAGCCGTCCTCCTATTACCGGTACGATTACCTGCTATTTCAAGAACACTCACTTCTCCAAAGACAGAGCCAGCGCTCAAAGTAGCTAACACAGTTTTTCCATCGTCAGCCACTACTTGAAGTCTACCACGTTTAACAATATACATTTCTTTCCCAACATCTCCTTTGCGGCAAATATAATCCCCAGGACTAAAGACTTGGAGTTTAAGTTTCAGCACTAGTGCTTCAAGCAAACCAGGTTCACAATCTTGAAATATTCTCACTTTACGCAAAGTGTCCAAGTGAACGCGTATTGCGATTTCCGCTTTAAGCTTATCTGGCAAAGATGATAAAACATTTTCTTCATCTAATGCTCCACTTTGAGCCCAAGTGTAAGCAAACCAACGAATCACTCGGGCTTCAAGTTCACCGCTAACTTTTCTAAAAGCCATGTATTGTTTTACACCATCCATTTTATTTTGAAACTCCACCCTAGCAACATTCATGTTCGAAATCATTGACCCAATATTTCCCACAATAGTAGCAAAAATCAATACACCAGCTAAGAAGTCCCCAACAACAAATAAATATTCAGCATCAATTTCTGGCTGCGGGGTTTCTCCGATAGTAGTCAGGGTCAGGGTGGACCAATAGAAACTGTAAATGTACTGATGTGCTAATGTCTCATTGCGAGCTCCCGTGATATTGTAAACCCAATTGTCTGTCCCAAATCCAATAGCATAGCTTATAGCAAAGTACAAACATGCATTCCAATGAATGAGGACCAGAATCGCCATAACAACCTGGAAGAGGATAAAAAAAACTTTAATTTATTTAGTGAATAAGGTATTATTTATCAAAGGTATATTTATATGTTTCCCACCTTACAAATCCTGAACGCGTTTGGATAGCTAGTGGCAGTCTCAGTGCGATCAAACCACTCCCACATTCGAGGCAGGCGAAATAGTCGATTGAGTCGTACAATAACAGGGCACGGCAAACGGTTCTGGAACAACCAATATTGACACTTCGGTAATAACTTAGTTAAAGAATGTTTTCGTAAACTATCTTTACCTTTATGATGCGAAACGCAATACGCGACTGGAATTCACAAGGCATCATGATGTTAAATAACAGGCAAATATAATGTTAAACTCTATTTTTATGTATGAATATTACCAATAAGGAATATGCACGTGATAAAAAAATGATAAAACATGGGTTATCTCTACCCACGTAAATGTGTTTTGATTATCAACTTTTTTAACATATACGAATGTAGTATTTATTAAATGCCCTAGCAAATATCCTAAATTCTGTACTAATTTCGGAACGGTGATCATTGATTTTGATTAGTATTGTTAATTTTAAAAGCTTACCACTTGAATAAACTACAAAATACAACGATGTGTAAACATTAAAAATGGTATCAACTTTAAATATCGAAGTTTTGCTTCATCGTTTATTATTCATCAAACATCGAAGCTTGTGCCTCGTTGTGATCGATGTTTTTCTAACATGGGGTGTCCGGTGAGTGTCTGTACCAGTTTTCAAGTATTACACCGTTCAGTCCGGATTTGGAAATCGATTTTTCCATCTCCAATATTCTATCGTCTGATCATATTTCTGATACACTTGGCCACCACGACCTAGGAATGCTCAAGAAGAGTTAAAACTTCATCATTCAGTATCGATGGGGCTTCCTTTTATTCAGAGATACAAATCCTGCAGTTGTATTATAAGCAGCTGCATAAAATAATGGGACCAAAAATTGTGTGTAATTTTTTCACTGTATAAAAATCCTTAAAAAGTACATACACGCATATTCCTTATTGAAGATGCCAGCATCAATCATGTGTATAAAATACCTTCCTAGCTTGAGACTTGGTTACGACCATGAACGCCAGGGATGAGATCTTGCCAGATCAGGCAGTGGATATTTAATTAACTGATCTTGAAAATCTTAGTAGTTGAAGCCGAACTGTATAACCACTGTATGACAATAAGTTCGTCTTATATATAATATGGAGACTTTTGACATGACAGAGAAATTAAAGATATTTTTCATAAACGTTATCAATTACTAACAGCATCACAAGTTCCAGGAATCCACCAGTAGTAGGCTAAGTCAGTAGGCAATAATGATATTAAGTCGTATCGCCATGATACTGATTTTAAATAGTGTTTTCTGAGCATTTTTGGATCCTTTACCATAAGGCCTTGTTCAAGGTAACCTGTAAACAACAAAAGTGATATTTATTGAATCTTCCTCTCTTAACACAGTTAAAGACGTCACACGCATTTTATGTTGATAAAAATAATAAAAGTAGGCCTGTAATAGTAGTAATCTAGGCTAGAGACTTCCTTGGTTCTTTAGTCACGTCTAAATTACACAAATAATTTAAAGTTACTATTTAGTATTTGCCTGAAACAATAATATATGTAATGCATTTTACAAACTTTCGCATTTGTAATCTTATAATTAATTTGGATAACAGAGAATACTCAATAAGGACATAATTATTTCAAGAATTAATTTTTAACTAGAACCAGACCCGAGCGTATGTCGCGAAGCTTTCGGCGCGCGCTTGTATAAGCTAAATGGACCAACTTAGATGGGGCTCATCAAGGCTGATGTTGAGTCAAGGTTTGGGACATGCGCAATTAATTAGGTACTGCGGGCTCGGCCTGTAGCCTGCTACAGGCCAACCATTAACCAAACATTAACAACCTCGTTCCTTCTCCTGAGAAGGAACGAGGTTGTTTTTAGTCAGTAAAAGTCTGAAACTCCCTCTCGCTATTAAACATATTTTTTAAAATATGCAAGCTAACTTGTATCAGAAAAGTTAAAACTTGGTTGAAGTCATTATCAAAAGGATGTCCTCAGGGTTCGGTTATAAGTATTTGTTGAATCTGTTTGGGATTTCCGTACCATGTGGATATGCGTATGTTGGTCTTTACATTTTACCCGTGCTGGACTCAAAAATCTTAAGGCTAAAGTCTGTCTTAACCAGATCTCGCGAAGGGGCGAATTAAATCGCCTAACTTTTGCACCCCGTAAAATATACCAGCTATTGCTCAAGGGTAATCTGAAATCTTGGCCATCTTAGTAAGTTCAGCAAAACAAATGGAGTCAGCTGCCAATTCAGAGAGACTCAGAGCCATTGAGCAAATTCATTGTATTAGGTAATCAGTGAGAAAGCCAAAATATATTTTATGCGTTGACGCGAATCTTGAAAGCTAAGTACCCCAAGCACTTACACAATTCGCGTGAACAATACTATATATAACAAAACAATTAGAAATCACAAGCCTTCAAAATTCGCGTCTCTCTTTTCCCAAGCTGAAGACCATCTAAGGAGCTACCTACATGTGGTGCTACAGGGTACATGTCTGGACTGATATGGTGACAATGGGTGCGGTACGATAGAAACTTCTTCAAGGCCAATGTTTGGCCTTAATTTTTCTATGTAAGGCTTATAGGACAGTTAGCACTGATTCCCTACCCGTGCCCGCGAGATTACTTTCCTTCGATGTCGAGGTACAGCGACGTGCTGCTATGTACTACAATGCGGTGCAGCGACGTGCTGCCATGTACTACAATGCGATGGAACTTTTCTGAAAACTTTCTAGCACAACGCGATCGAATCAAAATTGCAATATTGTTTAAGCAACCAGCGGACGTTTGGGACGAGCTTGTTATTAAGTGGCAGTGTAGATGGGAATAATGCCACCACCTTTATCATTTTTTCATCCGTGCAAGGGCAGCTGAAGAAGACATGGTTGGAGGTGGATCATAGTGTAGCCCTATTTCCCACGCGTTATGGCAACTTTAAAAGCAAATTATTTACATTCAAAGTTGTTGACTGCCCATGGCGCCAATGTTTGATAGCGGGACAGCAGTCCGCCCATCATATGTTAGATAATTGTAGTGTCATCGATGTTGTTCACTATACGGACGTTATGGAATGTAGAACAAATTTCATACCTTTTTTTTGCCATACCTGTTACTGGAAACAAGTATAGCAGCTCACACATAGGTCCCCATTATAATACTAAATTTTCCGAGGTGTTTGGTGACCATGGACACTCGCAACGGAGTAGTTCCGAGTGCGTTGCCGACCTTTTAGGGATTAGGGATTTGGAGATTTAGGGATTGGGGGGGGGGGGGGGGGGGAGATTGGGCCTCCGGTAACCAAGTTCGTTATATAATTATCTTATTTTTGAAAACATCTCTTTGATAATAAACAGCGTGTTTGCTTTTTTAGCATTTAATGGTGCAGCCACCGAGATTGTTTCACAATGTACGGATAATAATCCGTACATTGAAAAACGTCATAGACAGGCTGGTTTTGTTTGAATTATTTATTAGCTTGACTGAAGAGGATACTTACATTTATTTTCACCCGATACGTATTTTGTTAAGTCCCACCTAAACGAAGACAACTAAGTAGGAAAGTTTCCAATAGAACATGACGGTCACACGTCATGTATTCTGGCAAACCATAGGGAAATAGCCAATCAATCACAATACCCATGGAATAATGTCCTCATATAAGGGCAATGCAATATTTGTGCGGAAAAAGCGACTAGGCAGGGTCGAATGTTTGTTCACACGTTAGCTAAATTTGATGACGCAAGGCGCGGCTCTGCGTGTGGGTGTCAAATTGTTGATTTGCGGGCTCACTCCAAAGTAATGATCGTAACTTACAGTGTCGTAAACTGTATCGACTATAATATGTCCTTCTCGTGGTGTTTATTATGCAACTACTCAATAATGGTGGTTTTTGCTCTAATTGTAATGGTTTAAAACATATACTAGTTTGATTTTGTATTTTAATATGTATACTTATTTCTTTAATTTTTATGTCGAAATCAGTTATGATCTATTTTGATTAAAACAACATGAATATTTTTTATGATAGCTGAATTCAAGGTCGATAGTATTTCATATTTATGTTTTATAAAGTATGCATAAAGTAGTTTAGGCCTAAATGAAAAGTAATTTACATTAGTAGGGTGGTATAGTAAAAAAGCATTTTGGTAGACACAACCCAATGAACAAAACTACAACGCAACACTGCATAAACACTAGGCGCCAAAGATCCGGGCGACTTCAAATACAATTGGGTTTCGCGTCGCAATAACGTTTTTTGTATATTTGAGTCGTTACCAAGTAAATGGTCCACTTTCTAAGGTTGAGTGGGAAACATTATTATTTATGTTTGTTTTGTTTCTGATAATTAAATAATAAACTAAATAATCACGCGAAGTAGGGATTAGTTAAGCCTTTTGAATTTATTACAGTGAACACACTTCGATGAAGTTCATAACTTAGATTCAAATTAGTCAGATTAAATTAATAATGTTACTAAATATATGCATAGCGACATTTATCGTTCATTATTATTATATGACATTAAACAATAGCAACATTCGCTCCATGTCTTTCGCAACTATGCAAAGCTTACATGCTTAGCTTTTCATGACTTCTTAGAAAATATTAAAGAATTCAACAAATTACCTTCATGGATGTGCACGATAGTATCAAACACATATATGGCATCACATAGGTAGTCCAGCACAAACCACACAACTGTTAGTTTATCCAACTCCCAGAAGACAGCCCGCCCAATGACAAAAACCATGTTGTACAAAATGGCCAGTGACACCACCGCCAGCCACTGTAAAAAATGAGTTATTATAAAATATACACATTACAACTGCATTACCAAAGTTGTTTGAACGCCACTACAATACAAGTGCAAAACTTTAGCATGTTTTTATAGACTACATTTTCAATTTAATTCTTGTGAAACTATTGTATCTACTTGACTTTGCTTATAACATAGAACAGCCATCTTCTCGTAGAAACTAGTAGTGATATGACACGGACTTTCAAGTCACGTTTCCATTTGACAACAGCAGATGGTCTTCTGCTGCATTGAAAAATGAAATAGCGTCATGCTGCACGCGCCAACTCCTTACGTTGGGTGCTGTTCTGCACGTGGGAAGCCCCTTGTAGTCTTTGACGAATTGTCGTTTACTGTTCTATACTTTATATATATTGTATTTTAAATATTTTCCTACACATACTTATATATAACACATACATATATACAACTGTGAAACATTTTGTATTAGTTAATGCTTGTCGAATATTACATTGGTTGTGGAGATCCACGGAATATATAATATTGTCAGGGTAGAATCAAAATTTCTGATGTCTGTGAGGGGAAAATCATCAAATGTCTTCTCCCGCCCAGGGCCGGACGGGAGGGGAGTGACAAGCTCTTACTGACTAAAAACCCCCCTGTTCCTTCTCCTGCTCTGGGCCGAGGTCGCGGTGCCTGATTGCGCTTACCCCGCAACCCCAGCTGAATTATGCTGTGCTTACGCTGAATTAAACTAATAACATTGATTGTAACGATTGACATTGATTAACGTGTTGCTTATTTTTGTAATAAAGTGTAAATGTACTTACATGGTAATGCCCCGGGAGAGTGGGGTCGAATGCAAGTTTTAATCCACATAATAGTTTGGACCGCTTAGCTTGGTACAAGGGCTCTTCTGGATCAGTGAATGTCTGCGCTGCAAACTTATCTAGGAACCAATCAGGTGTTTTTGAGTGACCTTCTCCGCTAATGCGATACCGAAGGTTTCGAGTTACTCTGGAGAATTGTCTCTGCATCCAGTTGCTGTTAGTATTATCTTCATTTGCCACCTGAAACAATTAAACGTTCGAAAATCATCAGCCGATAAGAGCGTAATTCTGAGCAAAGGCTTCATTGGATTTGAGCGTTAATCACCACGGTTGTTTAAGGCGGTTAAGTGATTTCGAACCTTTTGTTCAGAAATTATAACTATAAATTTCATTTCTGCTGTAGATCACCATGAAATTTATCTTTAGGTACCACAACATATGTAAAACTATCATATTTTATTATGAAAAGATAAAATCTGTTGCTAAATGTTTTGACCACGTAGCACGCACCTCACGTATCTCACGTAAATTGTTAGCCGTTTTTGATGATAAGTCATCAAGTATTTTCTCGCCCTGGGTGTAGCAAAATGGAAAGACCCGACGCCCAATCTTTGTCCTGTGGCGATTGGAGCGTGGGAAGGATAGTTCCATGGCTTTCCCGGTTGCATTATGAGTGCTATTTATGATTCTGAAGGCCAGGGGTTGCATAAAAATTCAAGCTCTTGACCTCTATTAGTGTCGTTGACAACCTTTGCCTTTTCAATTACAATATAATTTATAAATAGTTTCCTTAATAAGAGTAATGACTTTCCTTATCGCACTGTTTTATATTTATATCAAGTCTCTGCCAGGCTTACATCGCGATCAGTGTCGTTATGCCATACAGTATCTGTCGGCGAATGGACTATGAATTTAAATCAGCCATTATCAATGTGTATCATGTCATTGAATCAATTTTGGAGTCTTATTTCTATTGTTAGTTTTAAATCATATAAGAATTCTTTTATGTGAGGTTCCGAATTTAAAATTCTTATCAGATTTTGGTTTATATTGTAGGTCTTGGTGCCGTAGTGGGGTAAGGTAATGTTATGAGTATACTAATCTATACTAGTCTAGGTTTTGTATGAAAATATAAACTAAATTATACAAGTATTTGGGTACAGATGGCATCATAATCACATGATTACACACGATGCCATAGAATAAGGGCGATGACCGCCACAAGATTATTTAACTATAGGTGATTGTTAAAATTATTTACTCAGCATCATGTAGGTGCAAAATTATGTAAATCGATATTTTGAAGTGTTATACGATCTTGATTCTATGAAAATTTTACGATTTTCAGATTGTCACCACTTATCTAATATGCCAACTTCGATACTTTATAACAAACACGTTTTAAGTCGTTTATTGTAAGTAAACCAATGGAGAAGGAGAAGGGACAGGGTAGTTTTTACCCAACTACGGCGAAGCAATAGGAGGTCTATGATTTTGACAGGCTATGTATGTGTGTATGTATGTTCCGAATAAGAAATACCTTGCCTTGACACGGCATACAGTTGACAATAATCGAATTATTTTTTAGATAATTGAATGAATTTAATCAATGGAAAACCGCAGGCAAGAACAAGGAAAAGTCGCGTACTACAGACTGTGGAGCACCCATGTTCTATGCGAAGAAGAAACCATTCAAAAGTGACAGAAATGGCTACCTCAACCAATGGGCAAGTCACTAAAACGTTTCCTCCGGATGCAATTTGCGCATATCGAATATTGAGAAGAACAAAGTTTTTCTCTTTTTCAGTAATTAGCATTGATATGGGACATGATGCAATCGCTGAATACCTGCGTCGTTTCAAATTAAAAGAAAGTGTGGGTTATGAGCAGTTTTTTTTTTATATTTTAAGCAGTTTATCTGGTAGAGTTTAAACCCCGCTGAAAATAATGACATTTTGAAGTTATATTTATTTTATTATTAATTCAAATTTATTATGGGACTAGTTGAATTGTACTGATATACCGTACACACATTACGTATCGTCTATACATTTGCAATACTTTCCCCTTCTGGGTTACTGTGACCATAAGTTTGGAGCGAGCACCATCAAATCGCAAGGTCAAACATTTCCAGTGTCTATTGCCAATGTTGATGTTAGGATATATTGCTTTTTGCGCAGTTAGCGAGATGTAAGATTGGTCATCTTACACGAAACTACTAGTAAGTCAAAACAAATAATGTCTATAACAGAAGAATACATGAACTAATCGATATTGCTTAGTTTTACTGTTTCATCATAATAATTTACAGGCCAAAAGCACTTCCACTATAAAACAGTAATTAAAATGCAAACACCAGCAATTATGACATCAGAATCAGGCGATAAGAATGTTTCTATCGGTTATAACATTGTACTTAGCCATTGAATTTACGCCTGCTGTTTAGTAACTGGCTCATTAGCAGTTGGTGATGTGTCAGTGTCAGGTATCAGTGGTCATCGGTGATCAAAATATTTATTTTATTTTTATTTTATTTAATAAACTTTTGAATTGTTAATTCTGACACATTGCGATGAATTTCTTAATATGTTAACACTATGTTTGTACTTTATGAACATTTAAGTATATTTATGACTAGCGACTTGCCCCGGCTTTGTACGGGTGCAATGGTAATACTAAATTTGTCCACTATTTTATGGTTGTAGTTATACTTTTAAGTACGTTCGTGCATGTAGCGTGGGCCACCTGTAGAAGGAGAGGGTAAAATAACTAAACGGACCATAGTCACAGCATTATAATCTTGCTGCATGGCGGTGCAAAGTTGCAGATATACATATATACCTTTTACTATCATTATTTTTTTAATGAATAGGTAATAATGTAAACTTTTTATAAGCAAACAACGTGAATGTAGCAAAACAACAGACTAACTTTTATTCCACTTTCAAAAGTATTTATAGCCACACAATTCTTTTTAAACCATAAACATATCTAATGGCTTTACGAGTATCAATTCGAACAAATACTTTTATTATTTTGATACATCATTACAACACTTTTTTCATTTGGGATGAGGGAGAGTATGTTAAACGTGTACAAAAATTTGACCAGAATGCTCCGAACTGCTAAGCTATCAGGAGTTACGCGTGTTATTGTGAGTCAACCATAAAAGATACATATTATTATATGCTGTTGTAAAATCTTTTTTAGATAATTTTATGAAGAACATTTGCGTGATACATGATTTTTATGTAACTTTAACCGTTAAGGCTGCACATGCGACGGAACCTAAAAACATGGAGTAACTCCTCCCGTTTTCACAACATTTTCCTTCACTGCTCTGCTCCTATTCATTGTTAATGAAAAGTATACAATAACCTGCCCAAGAATAAAAAGAATAATTGTGTCAAGTTTCGTTAAATTCTGTCAAGTAGTTTTGGTTTCTATAAGGAACATAGAAACAGAACTGAAAACTGTTTCGATGTAGCACTCTCTCGCACCAAGCGTTTACGAGCAGCCTCCTTTTTTTGTCAAGGAAAAATCATCAAAAGACTTCTCTCACCCAGGGTGAGGCGAGAGGAAGTGTCAGACTCTTACGGTAGTCTAAGAACCTTCTCGTTGTATCTGCTCCAGGCCAAGGCCGCGGTGCCTCAGCCCTATAGATCCCCGTCTGTGGTAATCTTTTACCCTCCTGTAGTCCAGTCTTATAGAATCCATTTGACGTGTACTTTATCTACACTTCTATACTCATGTTATAAAGAGGTAAAATTTGTAAGTTTGGAAGTTTGCATCTTTGTAAGTTTGGATGTTTGTATGTTTGTAAGCTTGTAAGTTTGTATGTACGGGGTAATCTTTGGAACCGCTGGTCGGATTGCCAAAATTCTTTCACTGATGGATAGCTACAATGTCCCTGAGTGCTATAGGCTATAAAACATCACGCTACGATGAAAAGGAGCCGAGCAGTGGGTGAAACCTTGCGAGAGTAGCTAGGTAGATATAGGAATGCTCTTTTGGTATCCATCTTTTATCTTCTCTGACGCTCGAACTTTTACTTGTGGTAATTTTGTACTTGGAGCTGGCATATAGTTACCAGCCATGTAATGGCTTTACATAACCAAAATTAACTGACTTACCTACAGGACCAACGTAAAAGAAGCAAAATTGGAAAGCATCGTTTCAAATACGGTGCTCACCAAAGCTTATTGACAAGTATACCTAATGTAAATGTAAATACAAATAAACCCATATTTTGTTATAATTAAGACAGTTTGAGCAGTTATTGACTGCATCTGTAGTAGGCTTGTTTACATATTTCACGCTCAACAAAATTATTTCTTACTTAATTCCATGAAGGATTTTCCTATTTTGTACAATCGGATTGCGGTACCGTTAACTTATTTTTACCTCTAGTATTATATAAAATTACTAGGTACTCTCGCGCGGTTTCACCCACTGCTCGGGTCCTTTTAATCGTAGCGTGATGTTTTATAGCCTATAAAGGCGTCCGCCGCTGAACAAAGCCCTGCATCCTATGGCTCCTCGCGATTTTGACTATGTCGGTAATAAATGACTTTAGTGTGAAAAATACGCTAAGCACGGGAAAATTGTAGCTATCAGTAAGTGAAAGAATTTTGGGAATCCGACCAGTGGTTCCAAAGATTAGCCCTTACATACAAACTTAAAAACTTAAAAACTTACAAACATACAAACTTACAAATTTTCCTTCTTTACAATATTAGTATAGACATTAGCTACTTTTTTCAAATAGTAATTATTTATATTTTTAAATTTTTTATCATATTTATATATCATGTTATGAACATCAATCTATTTAAAAAATAATGATATTAACTGCATACTTATATTATTTTAGATAAATTTTCAGCACAGATTTTAGATGAGGCGTAATCATATTATTCACAAATAGAAGAACGGGACTTAGTTTTGAACCTTGAGGAACACTCATTAAGGTTTGTATTATTTACCTACAAGTTTCAGTAAAATAGGTATTGTGATAATAGTAGATAGATAATATAGTTTATATGTTTCATAAAGAGTATGTAGTGTAAAGTAGGTACTTGACGATGGATTCGTACAAAAAGTGTGTATGTGCGGACAACACGGCACAGTTACTTGATAATATAACTTTTACTTGTATGTTAAAGTTGCGTCTTCAATACACACTGTTTGTTTGTTATTACTTCTACGATTGCTCTTTTATAAATTACTAGCTATTCTCGCGCGGTATCACCCGCTCCTCGGCTCCATTTAATCGAAGCGTGATGTGTTATAGCCTACAGCACTCAGGAGCATTGTAACTATCTCTATCAGTGAAAGAATTTTGGCAATCCGACCAGCGGTTCCAAAGACCCCCTATATACAAACTTACAAATTTTACTTCTTTATAATATAAGTATAGATTTCGCAATAAATACTACTTCTTTAAATGTATAAAATTCTTCACAAAGACATACAAACAGGAATTTAACGTCAAGGTCGTTTGCTTAAAAAAGCACAGCAATCAATCAGCAGGGATAACGTTGTTTCCTATAAGTGTATAAATTTTCAGCGCCTTTTTTAATTAAAAGATAACACAATTGGACATATGCCTTTCCCCATTTACAAATTGCCATAGACATTTAATTATCTTCTATATCTATGATTTGATAAACGAGTTTATCTATATTAACTCCATATCACAAACGTTTACTGTTTCCGTTTTTATCGAATGGCTCACATGCGGCTTAGCAGTCCCAGGTCAACTACTGATGTATCTCTGCAGTTTTTACATCACCTTATTTATTCTTTTTTAATTTTAACATAAAGACATTCAACCTATGTACCATCTCGTTTATATGTAATCTTAAATTTAAAATATATCTAAAATATTTGAAATATTTGATTAAATTAAATTAACTGTTTATGTTATCAGATTTTGCAAATATCACTTAAAATTACAATTGTCAGAAAATAAGTAGTTATTATATATTGAATACTCTTAATATTACAAGTTACGTGGAACATAAAACTAAAATAAAATACGCAATGATTATTACTGGGAAAATCAAGTTAAAATAGTACCTAAGTAATTTTCGCTCACGGATTCAAAATTTCGTGAAGACTATTGTGTTGCGACAATGGACTGAATATTTCGTAGTTTATTATGATTCTAGTATATAGGTACTTTATTTATTCTGTATAATGCACGTGTTCTGAGCTATTTGTTGATTTATTACCACATTTATTTTTTTTACATTTACAAGTCCTGTTTTAATTGCCTATTTCCAAAGATAAATCTGTTGTTTCATTGATTACCATATTTTAGGTATACTTACTTATTCTCCTCTTACTGTATAATCGGATACATGATAAAGGGCAGTGATTAAGGCTAAGGGTTTGATTTTTTCAATTTCTTCTTTAGAAGTTCAGTAAGGGTAATTCTCGGGTTTGCAGACAAAATTGCAACCACATCATTTTCACAGATTTTTAGCCCAGTCAATGTGTGATGAGTTTTTTCTTGTCTTTTTTGTTTTTGGGTTTCAAGTACACCCCGGTTTTGAGTTGAGACAAAATGGGCATACAAGACGATGACATGTTTTGTTGCCAAGGGTTGGATATCTACATGGCAAATTGCTAAAGTGGAGGATTTCTGGGTTTCACTTTCAGATCCTATAGTTGTTCCATCATTCCTGTAGTAGGCGGAACTCTGGGTCGAGGTCTCATTGATTAAGCAGGACATTGTCTCGTCTCCCCCCATATGAAGGACTCTTTACATATTTCCATCTAACTCCACTTTGTACTTTGACTTGGAGGTTGGATTTATCCAGCTTATGAGCTCCTTATTTAGAATTGATGACTTAAATAGGGAATCGGTATTGAAAAAACCGGCTGTGTGCGAGGGACCAAAAGATTGGCTATTTTATTGCATGTCTCCCCAAACTCTTCTGTTTGCACATATAAGAGAGGATCTTTATCCCCAAAGTTATCAGAGCTTGATGATTCAGTCTCACCCTCAATCGGCTCACTGACAATAGGACCATCAGGAATCTCATACCCTTGCTCGATTTCTTCCTGTTGTATACATAAGTAGAGTATGGATATAAAAACGAATAAAAAAAAATAAGTAGGCTGACTAATCAATTTCATTTAATTGATATTGCATGTGTTTCTTCTATAACTACATTACATTGATACAGTATGATATCATGTTTACCATGGTAATGGTGGCATTAATTGATTACTGGCTTTGTTAATGAGCCAAGTGTGGCTAGTCATATATCACTTTCATATTTTAAAATGTTCAATTTCAATGTATAAATAGCGGGCACAAACCAAACCTACAACAATGAATTTAGTTTTGCAAATAGGCCATAAAACGGCACTTTTACTCGTCAAAATATACTTATGTAAAAAACTGGATGGAGCCGGTGATGATGATAATGACGATTTTTAATTTTCCTACTTGCACATTATATTTCTTTATTTATGTTAATACGGATTAGATCCAATATAAATATAACTACATTCACAATAAAAAACAAGAATAATTAACAAGACTCTTAAGTTCCTCTCGCAGTACCTACCTCATGCACTCCAATAAAATTGTATGTGGCCTTAATATCATCACACAAACACGTATGATGGCTATTATAATGCACACCGTGGCTCGACATTGTCTAATCACTCTTTTCTTTGTAGATTACGAATTAAAATTGATATTATTCTAGTCAATAACTGAAGAAAATTCATTTTTATAAACTTTTTTACATTTTCTCTTAATTAAAAAGGATATATTAAGTCAATCCAAAATTAGTCAAACCAGTGGTTTCACTAAAACTCGAGAACGACTAACAAGCAAAAATTCATTTTCAAAATATATTATTACCTATATAAAATTGAAAACTGAAACGTTTGGTTAGCTGAACTTGCAAATCTCCAGAATTATATGAAAATAAAACGAATTATATGAAATTACATTTCTTTGTCGTTTATCGTAGACGGTAAACCTACACGTTACGACTGGAGAGGTAGTTAGTGCACATACCAACTGATAAAGTAGAACATTTGTTGTTAACTCGTAATTTGAGGAGCAACATGTTATTTGATTTTCAGTAAATACGTAGGTAATTGATCAATTTACGGTATATTTACTTGACCTAAGTAATAAATTGTAACATGTAAAAAGTCCTGATTCTTTTCTTGATACCTACCTTGAGACCTACAAGTAGTTAGGTCACTTAGTGAAAACATTTTCTAAGTAATAGATTGTCAATATTCCTTCATTAAATTTAACTCGTTTTACAGTTAGCATCAAGTTCATTAAACAATGTTGTAACTTTTCTTTTGTGTGGGAAGTGAAATGGTAGACACGAACCCTACGTTTGCGCGCACTAAGCCATTAAGTGCCATAATAATTACTGACAGTTTCCTACCTCATTTCCTTTCTGCAAAAAGCCGTTTATTTTTTATGCAAACCTCTTTTGATCAGCAACTATTAGTTCTTATTATATATTACCTAGTATCTAAATGACTTCTTGGAATCTTGTCTAGTGGAGAAAGAGAGGAGAAATTATAATGTACATATTTAATGCGATGTACGTAGTAACTTTACTATGATAGACGGGTCAAGCGTAATAATGAATCGCGGCCCAACCTGAAGCTGGAGAAGAAACGGGTTGATATCAGTCAGTAAGCGCCTAACACACTTCGAAGAATTTCCCGAATTTACCCCTCAAAAAATGTATTTTGACAAGATTCACTTAACCAAGATTGGGGTGACTTACCTGGGTGCTGTATGTGTACAAATTGATTAAATTACTTGTAGCGAAGACAGCAATTAACGCACTACTACGAGTATAACATAATATTCGTAGCACCTAAAGCGCCAAAACTTTAAAAGTAAAGTTTTGGCTCGTTTTTGCCCACGATTTTAATTTACGTCGAAAATTGATGAGGAGACACATTGAACAGGTTTAATTAGGGAGATTTTTCATAATCTACATACTTGTCACACGACTTTCGAATCGTAGTTAGGTTACGGATGCGGCTGCTTGAGTTGGTTAGTAGTTCAAAAAAAGGGTTAGGTTGTTTTTAGTAACAACTGCTACTTTTTTCGTCCGCATTTGCTATCGGGGGGTTAGTTAACACATAAAAATAAACTTAATCTTACTTCGTTAGAGTGACGCTAAAATAAATTTTGATAAAAATAAGTCACTTACCGAACCCATACTGTTTAAACCTATTTTATGGATGGTGAATACTGGACTCATGGTTTTTACAAACACACGCGACTGTCGGACACAGAAGTCATTTCATTTTACCATCCACTCTTTTTCACCACGACGATGTCTTCAAAATAAATACAGTCATTACGACTCGTCGACAAATAGTATAGATCGGTATCAAAGTAATTGTTAGAAGGTTGGGTCACGATACCGACTTAACACGAACTTCAATTAAAGGAATTTTGTTAACACGACTAATAGATAGAGGGGTGCGACATATCTACAATTTAATTACGATGCCACTTTATTAAAAAGATATAAGTATAGAATAAAAGAAACTTTTGCAGTATAGTTTAAATAAAATTTCGCACTAAATAGATTCAGGCGTCCGTCGCTTGAACAATTTAAAAGGGAATGAGCATCAAGTCCAAATTTAATAGTTAGTCCGTGCGTGTCCAAGGCAGTACCATCGAAACAATAGGCCATGAGGAGCGCGCCACACGACGAGCCACTTCCCGATGTCACGTTTATGACGCGTTCACCGTAGCTTCCGTCGTAAATACTGATTGCCTGACCACCATCGCCGAACGTAATACTTCTAATTGCCCCTTTAAAAGTTAATGCATTAACTTGATCATGTTTCGATGCCTCATCACAATTACACAGCTGTGTTTGCGATCTAGCGTTTTAAGTAAATTAAGTACATTTTCTGCCGAGTTTTCTTTGTAAAGCTGATATTGTTTTTTGCCCTCGATTGAAGTTTGAAGGGGTCAATAAATTAATTATCATACAGATGTCGCAGACAACTATCGTAATTAGCCATTTAACTTAGGGCCTAATGTACTAGCCTATTGATTGAATAGCTGAATTGGCGTACAGCCGGCGTAGCACTTTAGTTTGGGTCACTAGTCCCAACAAAATTAATAATTATTCCGATTGCTTACCTGCACCGCATGCTCATATAGAGGTCTTCTGCTGGAGCAACTCGTTTACTCATTGTGGTGGGTTTATTTATTAATTTATTTATTCTTTATATACAATCCTTAATGCTAGAAGCATTTTCTGCCAGTCAACCTTTTGGTAGTTGGTGTGTGGTAGTATGTTTCTAGTTCTAAATTTCGTAAAATCGAGAAGGGTGCAACTCGTATCTTTTCGAATAACATAAGTATAATATTAGTTGATGGATGGCATAAATGGCTTTAACTTGAAGGAATAGTTTTGTTCTTTCATATATTTTATCTGTAATAGTTGCGTGTATATATTTTTCATTTAAATAAACTTATTTTAATAGTATAGTAAAACTGTATAGAGTCTTAAGTGCAAACAAAGAGGTTGAGACGCTAGAAACGATTGCAATTATTTGCATGGCTTTGTTTTTAAAGGAACATTCAATTTTCATCAATGCAGCAGGACTTACACAGTATACGGGGCGTATTTAATTAAAATCTTATTAGTTCAAAGCTTGCAGCGGGCTTAATCAAGAAATGTAGGCTGACGCGAAACACGATTGATTTTTGGAAATTTTCAAATATAGTAAAAGAAAGAAGCATTTTGGTATTCCTTCCACTGGATTTTCACTATAGTATGTAGACACCATTGATCAGAAAAAATAATTATCGTAGAACTACAGAACGGTCACCATGTATGTTAAAAGGGCCTACTCGAAGCCTTGTATTGAGCATAGCTTGTATGTCCGAGGTCGATTTTATTCATTGCACATAACTTCACAAATATAATATGTAAATTAGCCGATTTGTCGAGTCTTTAGCCCGATAGCCAAGTCCAGCAATGACTGTCATGGGGTCTCTCACAACTCTTGTAAAAAGCCTCTGTTCAGCAGATGATATGATGAGACAACATCATGTTAAAATTAAACTTACCTCGTCAAACGGTTCTACAGTTTCTTCTAGTTGTCGTTTATATTGTGCCCGTAATTGGATAGGGCTCAATGTCTTCGGGGAACTAGAACTTTCTGAACGTGAATAGTGCCGTTTAACACGAGTTTTGCTCCGGTTGTGTGAACCAGAGGGTCCAGGATGTGGTGGAGGGCCCGAGTAAGATAATGTGAATGGTTTTCCGTCACGGTATCTGGAAATGTGCAAATATTATAAAATTTATATATTTAAAATAATCATTATACACATTGCTTACAAATATTATAATTACAATTTATTATAAAATAAATAAACAATTTAAAATTCAAATACAACTATAATTTCGTAAAAGTCTCTGTAAGGTGTATGTAAATAATATAAATATAAACCCAGAAGTTAATGATAATTTTTCATACGAAACTATATTACATGTATAATAAAAAAATAAATGTACGTTTTGTAATAATAAAGTTTAAATTGTCATTATAACGTGCGTAAATTCCATTCTTTCGGCAGGTGTCATAGTTTCCATTATTACCAGTCCCTAGCAATCTTCATCCATTAGCCTTATCTCTTATTTCCACTATCTGCAATAGTTTTACACGAACCGGCAACTGCCCTTGGGTGCTTTGGGTGGTTTACTTTTTCTATTTGGTAAAAACGACCAGACGGATTACCGGAGCCTTATCTTTTCACAACCAAAAATCGCCAGTAGATATTTTTTTTATTTATTTAATAGGTCGGCAAAGGAGCAGACGGATTACCTGATGTTAAGCAATCAGCGCCGCCCATGGATACCCGCAACGGAAGAGTTACGATTGCGTTGAAGACCTTTTAAGGATTAGGGTTTTGGAGATTAAGGGATTGGGGAGGGATCGGGGGAGGCCTCCGGTAACCTCACTTACACGGCGAAACACAACGCTGTGGTACTTAATCCCTAACAATACCAACTCACAAAAGGCTTGTTACTTCTATATTTGTTGATATCCATGGGTAGCGCCAATTGATTTCCATCAGGTGATCCAAGTGCTCGTTTGCCTCCTACAAGTCCACATGCGTATAACTATAGATGAGAAACTACAATGGGAGCCTCATATCTTTAGCGAGACAGTTAAATCTCTAGAGTTTTTTTGTTTAATAAAACGTTATCCCACAATAGGATTTTCTGCTGTGTTGTGGGTGCAGTTACAAACATAAAATTACACATACACAACCTACTCAGACCCGGAACAACAATTTGTGGATCACACAAAAAGTTGTAATGTAATGCGGGAATCAAACACGCGACATGTTGCACGGAAGCCAGTTGCCGAGCCACTGCACCAATCGTGCAGGCAGAGATCAATATCATGACTCTGCTTTGACAGTTTAATTATGAAAATATTTGGACGTAAGAATAACTTACAATTATGTATTTGGTAAGGTCATACAGATATAATTATCAAACTAGACGTAAATATAGATTATGACAACCAATAATTAGATTGGCAAAGGTACACAAGTCGTTCATGGGATTTTGTATTAAATATTATAACAAAATCCCAGGTGAAATTAAATTAAATGAAAAATAAATTTAAAATCAATTAAATGAAAACTATTTAAATTATGTATAATGTATAATGTTAACTTTGTGTAGACAAGCATATTACAAGCTTAATGATTATATTCAGGATACAGAGGATTTTGGTCCTGCTCCATAGGACAGTATACATAAAAATAAATAAAGTTTCAGTAGGTTTTGCTGAACTGGACTACTAAAGTTTAGTTAAATTATATTGTTAGACTTGATAAATTTGTAAATGTAAGTGCTCTGTAACCTGCTGCAATTGGTTAGGCTAGAAGAATGTCGGTACTAATGTCAGCTTGGAGTTGTCATGCTCACTCAAAGGACACATTGGCGGTGGCACGGGCACTGGAATGCTCAATCCCCTATAATATGATTGAGTTGGGCGATGCTGGTGTACGTGTTATGTTCGTGAACGTGCGCCGTCAATTGAGTCTGGCCAGCTCAGAACTGTCTATTTTTAAGGTTATTTTTTTCATGTTTCTCTGAGTAAATATCAGTTTTACACCGTTCTTACATTATCGAGCCAACTTAATAATATCAAAGAATCTGTATGTAAAACTGTACTGAACTTTAAAAAGAGCAAGTGTCTGTAAGAGTCTAATTGAAATAAATGATTTTTAAATTGACAAGCTTTGAGTGGACAGTGTTGCAACCAAAAAAACATAGAGGTACAATAAAATTCTAAAGCGTGAAGCTCTTTGTTTAACTGTAATCAGCTCTAAACGCCGATTTACCTTTTATTAAGGCGCCCTTAAAGGTTAGTTTATCGCGCGAACAAGCAATTTAAACTTACGAGTAGGGTTGGTCGTCTAATGTGTTAGACGAGGTGTTTCGTTTACGTGTATTTATAGATTGGCGAGTGTCGCGACGTGCCGCTGCAATGATGTACGTCCACATGGCGCGGAGATCAGTCTCTCCGCCTGCAGACCTGAAATACAATATACCATTACTGCACTTCTAAAGGATTAATTAAAGCAACCAAAACAAACAGTTTGTTGTGATCTCCTATTGTTACTCCTAACTAGGGTAGAAATAAAAGTTCGCTTTACCTCGGGCTAACTAATTAGAAGTCGATTGTTTACAAACATCTCCATTCCAAAAGGTAATATTTATCACGTTCTGTCTCTCCCGACAATATGTTACCTAACTATTGTATTTATGTTTTTTAATTGCAGTAAGGAAAAGCACTGAACAGCATTTTATTTGCAGTTAAAAATGTATTTGTTTATTTGCAAATAAAAATAAAACATATCTTTGAATATACTGTTTAATTATTCCATATTTCGAACTCGAATTCCAAACTACAATAAAACATATTTATTTGAATACCACATATTTATTCTTTTTTATAAAAAAATCTCATAAATAAGTATGCAATTATGTATTTGAATGTCCCGCACTCATGTGTGAGTCATAAGTGGGCCATACTTTGGCGCGAACGGGCCGTCTCGATCGGACTGATACCACGAACTCTTAGAAAATTGACGTGAAATAACACTCACGTTGTTTTTTGCTGTCAGTGTCAACCTCTATCCACAATCCTTACATCCTCTATTCTTAGTTCCTTATCACCCAAAAATGTCAAGAATGAACTTGTAGTGTTTCTGTTGGTATGACGAGTGTCGATTGTTTTCTATCGGGGGTAATAACGTCTGCTTGTTTGGAGATCTAATAAACCGAAATTATTTATTTTATCGAATAAAATTTAATTTGTCTTACTCTGCTCATGCAATAGAAGTATGATATTTTTATTTGCCTGTTAGCTTCGCATGAATGTGTCGAAATTGTGATAAACAAGACTCTACTTTCATTTTTATTCATGGTTCGTCCACTTTTAATGTAGAAATGACGAAGGCCAAGACGGAGCTGATGGTATTGATTAATGCGTAAATCGCTATTTTATTGTGTTGCATTTTATGGGATTGTCACACTCGCCTATGGCACTCTATAGCTTAAACATAATAGAATCTCCAATCTCTTGTCATAATGTTATATTTAACTCCACCGTCATTATTTTATGAGA